ATTTCATACACACGACGGCATATTTTTATCAAGAGATTTTTTTTAAATCAACACAACACGTGACAACTCTACAAGCGCCTAGCCAGTGACTGATTAAAGTGCGGTGTATGCACCGCAATTGAGTGGGACAGAGTAGCTGAATGCAGTGTCGCCTCTAGTACGTAGTACATAATAGCTCAATGTTTGAAATAGCTCGTCTCTAGTACGAAGTACATATAATTCAATGCTCTCAATAGTCATTATCATAAAGACGATTTAAATTCTCTCCAGGTTCCATCAGTTAGACATATGTTTTAATCACCGTAAGTCTACCGTAACACTCGCAGAATACAAATTTTTTACAAATACCGATTACTTAAGAAGAGGAGCAATATTAAATATAAAAAAAATTTAAAAAAAATGTTTGCACTTCTGCGAACGTTAGTTATATCCGCTTGCAAGTCTACAAAGCAATACTTTAAAATAAAACTCAGTTAATAAATTTAGAGCAATAATACTATGGTAAAGAAAGTGTTGACCGTGAAGTGGCGGTGTAAGACTATCTATATTTTCCCGTTAGTGTCATATCCACTCGTGCTCGAGAGATGCGCCATATTGGCCAAAATGTCGGGGTCATTTTGGCCAATATGGCGCATCTGTCGAGCACTTTCCGAAGTACTTAGTATATAACAAGTATACTAAGTATATATGTATATATATACTAATATATTAAGTCATATATCAATCGTTATATAGCTATAATTATGCATACAGATATGTATGTTATTATATTATATATATATATATATATATATGTATATATATATATGTTATATATATATATCATATAAATGTTACAAATAGTTTGCTATCACTCGCGATGCGCATAAGACGCCAGAATATGGCGTTTGTACAGACGAGGGGATAAGGAGATGGGCAACAGCGGCTTCCTAATAAGTACCTACTAAAAAATAAAAAGCTATGGTTTACCAACGGCGCGGCGGTCACCAACGCGCATTTCAAGCGTGGCAAATTTATACCACAATCTATGGGGATGCACATCAATACAGTGGACTTGTGCTGCACTGTAACGAGCTAATGAGTGTTTTTGAATGAATAATTTTTTTTAATAAGTTTAAAATAATATCACCAATAATAATGGTTCTCTTTACTTGGTCCTTCCAAATAAATCGTGAGCACTGTCGTTCACATTTCAATAAGTTTTATATATTTAACGCTTTATCAATTTATCATTACATATTATATTTTTGTGTGGTAGAGCCACGCTGCAGCTATATTATGTTTGTATGTTTTTGTAGCACGAATGGGTCGGCTCGACCGGGGAAGGACCATGCTCTCACAGAATGCCAACTTGAAATAGCATCTTAATACTGCTGTGTTTCGTATGGTGAGTATAGAGATCCGGAGGCCCTTTTTTACTGGACTCGAGGCATTCCATCTTAGTCCTCAAAGGTGACAACGCATTTGCATTTTGATCCTTAGTTGAGAGGATAAATGTGGTTGTTTATGGGCCACAGTATCCACTTACCACCAGGGGGACTATGTGCTCGTTTGTCACCCAATTGTATAAAAATATCCTAGACAACATACAACACATATTATCGATGTATGAGAAAACATTTTTTGATTGAACATTCTCTACTAAGGCAATATACAGAAGAACGAGTAATTTGATTTGAAGGTCGGATCGTTTAAAACAGATTACCCGTCATCTTAATGTCTTACACATAGTTACTATATTACTATAAACATATATCAAGGTGTTTTTGTTAATACCTACATATATACGTGGTAGAGTCATGCTGCAGCTATAGACATTCTACCTACGGGCCACAGCAATCGCTTACCATCAGGTGGTCTGTGTACCCGTTTGACACCCTATACTATAAAAAAAACATGACCCTATTTTAGTTGTATTTCCATGTTGATATGGTATAAGGATTGATCCATCTCATGTCCAATCGATGTCGCAAGGCGACAAACACTATCTTGCGGGAAATGTCTGAATGTCAAGAATACACAGATCGGTTATGAGGAGTATCAGAGGACCGTCCAGAGGAGGTGATGAAGAGAAATCCTCTCTGACAACATGGGAGCGTCTCTACAGCAGTTGTTACTAACGGATTACTTATTACTTCATATAAATATTAAAAGATATACCTAAGTACCAAACTATTAACTACCGCGTGACTAAAAGGTTTCAACACTTTGATTACAGCGTCACGAGTACAAAATGTTATTCTTGTGTGCAATTTTAGCAGACTTCAAAAGAAGGTTAACAATAGAACTGTATGTTTCTTTTTGCTTTTATTTGTATATATGTTACGTCACGATTATTTTGTCAATTTTTAACCGAATTTAACAATATTTTTTATAGAATAAGGATGACAAACGGGCAAACAGTCCACCATATAATAAGTAGAAAGTAGATGCTGTAGAAATCTACATTTATCCTCGATTAAGAATCAAAATATAGATGCTTTATCACCCCTGAGGACTAAGACTAGACTAGGACCAGAATGCCTCGTTTCCAATAAAAGGGGTCTCCGGTTCTCTACAATTACCATACGAAACAGTATAGCATTAAGCTGCTATTTTACGCTGGTATTCTGTGAGAGCGTGGTCCTACCCCGGTCGAGTCAACCCATTTATGCTACAACTATAATATAGGTGCAGCATGGCTCTATCACGTTTAAGATGGCTCTGGGCTATCGCCGGACTGATCCGAGTGAATACCTACATAATTTCTAGTAAAACTTCAAAATCGCCGTCATAAGGTGTAAAATTGCGTAGCGCCCGCGACGATTAAGACCGCTTAGAAATTGTCAGAATCTTAAATTATTTAAATAAATTATTGATTTAAGTAATCAAAATAATGAGCAAGCAAATTACGAATATTGATGTTATGAATATATTGGAGTGATTCTCAAGCATATAGATTAAGTAATTTCGTTGTAATTTCAACTATAATGATTTTAGAGGTGTTTTCGCAAATAATTACGATCGAGTCAAAATTATACAATCGTGTTTTTGAACAAGCAATTTCAAGATAAAGACATGAATTTACCTATATCAAAATTTCAGTTTCGTTGGTGGTGTCATAGTCCTATGCTATTCGATGAAAGGAGGTGCCTTTTTTCGCGGTGTCGCCTTAAGTAGAGTATACTTCAGGGCTGGTCCTATTAAATTTGGAGAAAAAATTTCATACCTAACAACTACTAACGAACTATTTAGATGACACTCACGTTATGATAAACCGTAGTTCACTCAAAAGGGTTAACATTAAATTTAAAAAAAAATATGTACAAACCGACTACAAGCAATAATTATCTAAAGCGAATAAAACAATTTCACATTCTGAAGGGGGAAGGGCTTTAATACAATTTGTCTTATCAACTTATCACCGACTTCAGAATGTGAAATCATTTTATTTCCTGTTTGAACTTAGTTTATGGTTTTTCCTTTTTATTTAAAAGTTAATTTAAAAAAAAAAGAAACGAATTTTGAATTTAACCGTAAATTTACATTCGATGCACGGTTAGTTCTTGCTAACTTCTCATTAAAGGAAGTTACGGTAATGAGTCCGATAGTTCAATTTTCAACCGAGAAAGGTTTTGAGGGTTTTTGGCACGTTTTAAGATCCTGTACCTATTCTACTATTTATATGGAAGTCCGTGTGTGGGTGTTGTTAGTACGTTAATGATCATTTTCGTCTCTCATACCTCGCAAACAAAATTTTAGGCCAACCTCAGAAAAAGGAGGTGCCCAATTCGACTATTCTTATTATTAACGATTTTTCGTTAATTGTAAATAGATTTTTATGATTCTTTTAGTCAATATGTTATACTTAAGGGGTGGTAAAATATGAATATGGAGAAAGTATTCCACCCTAATACCCTAATGTCAAAATGCTCGAACGCTACTCAATTTTAAGACGTCGTTAAGTATCGTGGTGTCACAGTCACTTTGACTTAAAGTGATAAAGACAGCACGAGACTTAAGAGGATACCTTGAAAATGAATCGTTGTTTTAGGGGCGTGGCTTAGCCCTTTGTCGGTGAAGCTCACGGACGATTTAGGGAGTGTCAAAATGAAAGTGATGCAATAACTTCATGTACGCAAATTATGAGATAGCCATACCGATCGATCACGCGTTCGGAAATAAACTACGTAAACGCCAAACAACATTTTTATGTTTTTTAACTAAACTTCGCTATAACTACTGTTTAAAAATAATTCCACGAACTTACTCCTAAAACTATTGTGGTGGCATGGAGAGATGGAACTAATTAGAGCCCATTGTACAATTTTTTTCTATCGAGAAAATGACATGTTATCGTGTTTTCCTTCGAAGATCATATATCAAAAATCATATACCAAAAATTTTGTTCGTAATCTATAAAAATTAAAGAAATATGTGATATTTCATATCGAAAATTTTGTGATTTTTCAATAGAAAAATCACCAAATTTTCGACGTATCATCTTAACGCGCGTTAAAATTGAGTATCGTTTGAGTATTTGGCCATAAGGGTGGCAAAAGGGATGTAAATTTAATCTTTTTTTGTTGTTAAGACGTTGCGATATTCCATATTCCACTTAACGAGGTAAAAATAAATTTTATTCTATACACTATATTTTAACACCATGTGAAATTATTTTATTTCAAATTCCTTGAAGTCTATTTTTACTTTTTATTTAAAGTCAATTTTTATTCGACGTTTACTATGTCATAGTGAAAACCAGATTGAGTTTTTCATAAAAATCGAAATTTTAGTTTATTTTCAACATTAAAATCGATCTTACAATTGGTAAACAAATCGGAAGTTGATATGACCGATCGGCACCCATACCGATTTCTTAATATCACTGAGTGCTTCTGTGTATGATCAAACAAATATATCAAGTACACTTGTTTTGATATTCCTGCTCACTTGCGTTATTATACGGAAGTTGTGGCACCTATCAAGAAGGTAAAAAGTAAAACACTGTCAATACTTACTGGGTGATAATGCTTCAGGAACGAGTGCATCCTCTCCACCTCCTCGGACGTAAGGGTCTTGAGAATGAACAAGCGGTCATAGCTCTGGTAAAACTTGGCGCCCGACTTGCCGGACGAGTCGTCCGGAATCGGCTGAGATCTGTCGACAATACCATACTTAATTTCATAATCTGTGGTTTGTAGAAATAATATTTCTACTCTATATATTATGTTATATTATTGTGATTAGCATTGATAGATAATATGTTAGCCTAAACCTTTACCACCAAAAGCTTTTCTCTTACTTTCTCCCCATAAGTTGAGTAAATGAGCAAGTTCAGACCAGTTATTGTGATGATGAACTAAAAGCTATTTGATGTTTCCATACTTTAAGTATTTGATGTTGAAATGATCGATTATACATACACTCAGGGAAACCAAACAAAATATTAATATCTGGGTTTTCAAACATAAAGAACAAGGGTAGGAGAAACTAAACACTAACACAGGGACACTTTTGTTTATTTTTAAATAACAATGACTTATTCGGTTAGTGGAAATACAGTTCTATTTTCACACACACATTAACAGTTAACCGCTATTAAAAACAGATGATTTTGGTTCGTGTTTAATCTGTATATTGTTGTAAATGTTATAATTATGTGGATACTTCCTAAAATGTAATATTATTATTTTAGAAGTAAGGGTGACTGAGAAACGAGCACAGATATCACCTGTTAATCGGATGCTGCGGCCCATAGACGCCTACATCAATCTTAAAATGCAGAAGCGTTTAATAATACGAAACATCACCAATTTCTGCCATTTTACGCTTTTTTTAAAAGAATAAAGGTCACAACCAAGCACATTTCATCTGATTGTAAGTGAATTATATGGCTCATAGACATCTACATAATCCTCGATTAAGAATTAAAATAAAATGCAAATGTGTTGTCGCCCCTGAGGATTAAGATGGAATGCCTCGTTTCCAGTAATTCTCCTGTTCTCTACAGTCACCACACGAATCACAGCGGCATTAAGTTGCTATTTCAAGCTGAAATTCTGTGAAAGCATGATCTTTAGTTTTTGTGGTTCTTCCTCAAATCGGCGGAAATCGAACACAAGTCTGCTAACGTACTGTGATATTTACAGCGAGCGCTGAGATTCTGAGCTACCGTGGCTATTAAAAATGATAATAAACGTTTCTTCAGCAAATTAAGCGTTAATTACCAATTACTACCAGTTAGAAATAGTTCGCGCTAAGCCCAATTGAGGTCACACATTACAATATGTAGTGAGTTTTAAGATCTATCTAAATGTAACACATTCATGGAGCCGTAGAGGCGCCATCTTTAAGTAAAAATAATTCAAAGTAAGCGCTCTAGTACGATACATTCTGTAATTTCATTCTATTCAAATTATATAATGAATAGTGATCTAATTTTCAAGTGACATTGTAGTTTTACTACCGAAATAAAAAAAAGAATCGGCTTAAAAAATATGTTCAAAATTAGAGGAATCGTCATTTTAGTTAGAGATGAAAACCATAACGAACAAGCTAGTGATTTTTTTTAAATATCTTTATCTGTATCTGAACAAATGTTACGTAACTATGGAATCTATAATATGGTATATGCCGTATTATGCCCCTGCAGACGCAACGATTGGATATGGCTTAGGTGCATATGGACTCACATTCCCAACATATCTTAACAAAGTAAAGACCATACAGATAAGATTCTTAAAGATATTAGTTGATCCTAAAACGAAAAATGCTCTGGATAAAAATTATGAAATGTTATTTAAAATTTGCAAAATTATTGCCATAGACATGAAAGTAAAATCCATTATCATATTAGAACAGCATGGTATGGTAACATTTAAGATACCTAGGACACATATAATGCCGAAGCACCAAATTACTCAAAGGAGGAAATATCTCATACCTAGGACTGAAAATTACTTTGGACGGCGTACAAGGCAATGGATAACTCCAACTTTGTGTAATGAGGTAGCGGATATATGACGACAGCATAACTAAGTCGCAGCTTAAACCCATCTTGAGGAAACATTATCTGTCGTTGTGTCCATAGTGGTAAAAGTTACTTTAATTATTTTTGTGTTAATTTAAGTATTTATAAGTACCAGATATTGTTATTAAGGAGTGTAAAACGATAAACTGTTGCGTTGCCGACAAACTGGCTCACAGTTTGGCAAAATTTAAAATATTAATAATTTACACTCTTTATAAGAATAAATTTAAAAAAAATGTAATAAATTTAAGTTTTATGGCAAAAAAATATTTTATTTTATTTTTATTTATTTTATATCTAAAACAATGCTACCGGGATTTTAGAATTTTAAAATATTTTTCGTGAATTTGATTTTTTTTCCTGAATTGTCGGGTTCATATACACACAATCACACCTGAAAAATCCAACAAAAAGGCCTGAGACACGTCATAGGATTAAAAATGCTGATGCGTGATCACCCCTGAGGTTACGTTTTTTTTTATAGGAGTGGGGGCAAACGAGCATGCGGCTCACCTGATGGGAAGTGACTACCGCCGCACATGAACAATTCAAGAAACCTACACGTAACATAAGAAACTCTAAAACTTCTGCTTTATAAACATGCCAATCAGGCGGACTCCACCACGTATAGCATCCTCGACGGAACCCATGCAATCACCATATCATGGTGGCTCCGATCCCAACATTTCTACCTATAGGGATAACTCTGATCTAGGAGATTTTTCCGCTAACATGAGTACGCGTGAAACTAAACGGGAACAGGATCAAGACTTTAAAGATGAGCTACAGGCATTTAAAGTAGACATCCTTAGTACCCTGACCTCTTGGAGGGATTCTCAAGGTAATAACGTGGAGACAATTCTCACGTCTATAAACCAGCTTCGTAACGAATATAAAGATTTGCGCACAAGCTTGAAATTTATGACCAGTAAAAATATGATTACTTATACCGCACTAGATAAAGAAGAACGAGACCAACTAAAATATATCCGCGAACTCGAAAATAAGATAGAATCCATGGAAAGAACTCAAAAATGTTCCACTATAGAGATTCGGAATATACTTAAACAACAAAAGACGGAAAGACGGAAACCGCGGGTGATTTATTTAACTATATCATCATCATCATCATTACAGCCCTTCACAAGTCCACTGCTGAACATAGGCCTCCCCCAAGTAATGCCACAAAGCACGGTCCTGAGCCACCTGCATCCATCGACTTCCTGCATGTCTTACCAGGTCGTCACTCCATCTAGTGGGGGGTCGCCCTACACTACGCCTACCGGTACGAGGCTGCCACTCGAGAACCTTTCTTCCCCATCGGTTATCGGTTCTTCGAGCTATATGGCCGGCCCATTGCCACTTCAGCTTACTAATCCGTTGGGCTATGTCGGTCACTCTGGTTTTACTGCGGATATCCTCATTTCTGAGTCTATCACGCAGAGAAACTCCGAGCATAGCCCTCTCCATAGCTCGCTGAGCGACCTTAAGCGTCCTCATACGGCCAGCAGTGAAGGACCACGTCTCAGATCCGTAAGTCATCACTGGCAACACGCACTGGTTGTACAATCTAGTTTTTAGAGATTGAGGTATACCTGACGAAAAGATATGCCGTAATTTCCCGAACGCTGCCCAGCCGAGTTGAATCCGTCGATTGACCTCTCGGTCGAAGTTGGACTTACCTAGTCGGACTATTTGTCCCAGGTAAACGTATTCGTCAACAACTTCGAGCATAGTGCTCCCAACAACTACCGGCATAGGTGTGACATGGACATTGAACATGATCTTTGTTTTGTCCATGTTCATCTTAAGACCTATCCGTTGGGAGGCACTATTGAGGTCATTGAGCATAGTGCTTAAGTCCTCCAGCGATTCTGCCATAAGGACTATATCGTCGGCAAATCGAAGGTGAGTGATGTACTCGCCATTGATGTCAATACCGTATCCTTTCCAGTCCAGTAGCTTGAAAACGTCTTCCAATGCAGCGGTGAAGAGTTTCGGGGATATAACGTCACCCTGTCTTACACCTCTCTGCAGTTGGATAGGTTTCGAGCTCTGGTTCTGTACTCGGATAGCCATCGTAGCCCTACTGTACAAACACTTCAGCACTTCGATATACCGACAGTCAACTTGGCACCGCTGAAGGGACTGTAGCACCGCCCAAATTTCGACGGAATCAAAGGCTTTCTCATAGTCCACATACGCCAGGCAAAGTGGCAGATTGTACTCTTCAGTCTTCTGTACAATCTGCCGCAGGGTATGTATGTGGTCTATGGTACTGAAGCCTTTTCGGAAACCGGCTTGTTCGGGAGGCTGGAAGTCGTCAAGTCTGCGTGCGAGACGATTCGTAATGACTCTCGAAAACAGCACGTAGACGCGGCTCAGAAGGGAAATCGGTCTGTAGTTCTTTAAGAGAGCGTTGTCGCCTTTCTTAAAGAACAAGACCACCGCACTTCTGCTCCACGCCTCTGGAGTAGTGCCACCATGGAGGACGGAATTGAAGAGCTTCTGAAGGACTTCAAGTACCGGTGTTCCACCCGCTTTCAGAAGCTCCGCTGTAATTCCATCCTCGCCTGGGGCCCTGCCGTTTTTAAGGTGCTGGAGAGCCATTCTAATCTCGCTTAGACTGACGTCCGGGATATCATCGGAATAGTGTCGGATAAGACTTGCTCTTGGATCGTTACTCACACTTGCGTGTGGCTCCAACGATGATGTGTACAGCTGCCCATAGAACCTCTCAATCTCACTCAAAATCTCAGGTGTCCCGGAAACGATGTTGCCACACTCAGTCTTCAGCCTTGACAGTTGGCTCTTTCTGGCAGACAGATCTCTGGCAAAGACTTTGGAGCCCTGGTTCCGCTCGATCGCTTCTTTAATACGAGAAGTATTAAAGTTGCGTAAGTCTCGCCGTATGCATTTGGAGATCTGTCTGTTCAGTTGCCTGTATGCTGTCAAATCTGTTGACGATTGCAGCCTCATCTCCCGTCTAACAGCCATGAGATTAAGAGTGTGATCGGAGAGTTTTTGTGTTCTTCTGCGGCGGGTCTTACAGAACTTAGCTCCGACCGCATGGACAGTTTCCACGAGCTTGTCGTTCATATCGTCCACTGCATTGCAATCTTCTAGG